AAAGAAAGAATTCCAGCGCAGTCCGCAGCATTCCATCGATTACTTCAAAGGAAAGAGTTCAAATACTCGCTGTGGTCCCGAAACGAACACGAATGCTCCGTAGCAAATCACGGCTGGTAAGTGGGCGGTCCCGAAGAAATTTCCGGCCACAGGAAGAGTAAAACGAATTTCAAAAAAAGAAACAATTCCAGTGCAACCGGCAGGATCACATTGATTACTTTAAAGGACAGAGTTCAAATACTCCCTGTGGTCCCAAAACGAGCACGAATGCCTCCGTAGCCAATCACGGCTGGCAAGTGGGCGGTCCCGAAGAAATTTCCAACCACACCCATCTTTGAGGAGTTTAACGCCCTTTTTGGGCTTTTCCCAGGTGAGTTTTCTTTATAACTTCACTTCAGATGTTCTCCAATAGGGCCTGTGTATCCTTTAGTGCCATTAGTATTGAAAGAAGCAGACCCTGCTGGGACTGTTGCTTTAAGCAGATAAGGAAGGCAGTTTCGAGCTCAGCGTCTCGAGGCGAGTGCAGTGGCATGCGGCTCATTGCAAATGAGCTGGACCGGCCTGATGACCTTCCCTCGTAAGTGAAATGAGAGATTATTCATATTGTACATTATACCTTGTATTGTATATGTTATAATAATTCTACAACTTACATACAAATCACCCAGTCTGAAAATGAACGAGGGATCGGTAATCTGCTTGATCCTGTTCCATGTTAGGATTGTCCCCGACAGGTGCGTAGAAAATTGGAATGCCCATATTCCACAACTGCAATAGTTATATTGATGTAAACATATCTACATAGTTCTGAGTTGTTTCGATTTCTCTCCAAGAAAGCTCATTCCCTCAAAAAAAAAGCATAAAAATAAGAATAGAGTATTGGCAATCGTCTGGGTTACAATTCTGAAATCAATGAAGCGAAGCAGAAGAATTGATTGGGCCTATTCGAGGTATCCATTAGACCCGACTTGCAGGCTGGAGCTATAGGGGGAGGGGCGGCAAAAAAGACATTTTGCCCAGGTCGCACTTCGGCCTTTTTTCTTCAGAGATTGCCGTCGTTGACGGAAGTTCCTCAGCAAAATATTCCCTAAATGTCCCTCTATAAGTACACGCAGGCCCTCCTTCACTGCCCTCACCGTCTTCAGAATATGACGTCATCTGTCACCGTCGTCGAGCTCAGGAGGCCTACAGTAACTGCTTCAGCCTGAAGCTCTTACATAATTTCTTGGATCGATTCAACGTGGGATAGTTTCCTAGGGACATTAGCTCTAACTATGCAAACCCCCTCGGAACCCGTCGTAACGGTACACGATCAGTCGAGAACCCCATTGAGCTCGACCAGAGCACCATGTTTCCGGGGCAAACTTTTCTGATGCCGTCCACGTAGATGGCCACTATGAAGATTTTCTTATGAAATGAAATGCGCTCTTCAATTCTAAGTTGGGAGCACACGCTTTGAGCTGAGCAAAGTGTGATTAAATCCATTTGAGTCTGGAGACAAAATGTCTTTTTTATTGCCTCCCCCACTGTATGGCTTTGGAGTGAGCACAAAGAGCTACGTCGTCCACGCTAGATTGGGACCGTCTATGCTGGACTCATTTGACCATTTGTGGTATCTGCTACAAGTTTTTGTGCGTGGGCTCCCACCGCTGTAGAGCAGTATGACTTGGTCTCGGCTGTCGTGCGCCTTTTATACTGCTAGAACACGATTTGCCTGGTTTACAGTAAGGTTTCTGCTTTCATGATAAGCAAATAAATGTCAAAATTTCTGCGCTCTGGGCGTCGCATTTCCTAGCCACAATACCTTTAAAATGACTCGTTAAAAAGTAAATAGTTCGGGCACAAGTTGTAAAGCATTAAATTCACTATCGTTCAGTGCAATTACCTGAATAAGTCCAGCGCAGTGTTTTGATTATATTAATATCAAGGCGACTATTGACATACATTTGAGGAGGAGGGGGGGGGGTAGGCAACGAAAAAGGCATCTTCTCTATACCTTTGAAACGGAACTGAAATGAATCCAAACACGCTCCCATCTGAGAATGAGGACCCTTTCACTTCCTAAATAAACTCCTTGATAGCTTTGTACACAAGGACATCAGAAGAATCTGCTACGGGAACATGGTGCACGATTCGATATGAACGAGATCTTGGACAGATCGAACACCATTACGGCGTGCCATGAAATGCTAGTCGGGTACAGGTTAGTCAGAGCTAATAACTTCTGGAAAATCGGTAAATGGGTTCAAGAGGAGATGTAGCAGCTTCATCCTGGTGCAATTACCTAACTCCCCTCGAATTCGGCGGCGATGGCAGCTGACGTCGCACTTTGCAGATGGTGAGGACAGTGAAGGCGGGAGGGAGAAAGCAAAACAAACCGCAAAAACCACTTAAAGGCAAAAGTCGGGCTCAATAAGGGGGTATTATGGCGATTGAAACTGAGTATAGAGATGCGAAGTGGAACGACAGTGGAGAAAAAACTGAGAAAAACCGTCGACAAGGCCGTTAACAAAACCCTCTTTCCCACTAGCAGTGAAGGAGGCTGGCTTGGGGAAAGAGGCACGTACAAACAAGTTTTCTGGATTGAAACCGAACGCCCCGGGGCCTTAACGGGGTTTTTCAAGGTGGGAAGTTGCTGCAATGTGTGCAGCTACCCACATACAACCTCCAGGCACGGGAATTACTTCTCTAGCGTGCCTGAGCCCGACCTTTGCCTTTAAGATGAGAACCTTTGCCCTTAAGAGATTGACCGTGGTAGGTACGACGGGAAAAAAGCGCTTCAAGGAGAGAAAAAACGTGAAGGACTGCTATGTGCGGGGGAACACAGACATCACATTTACATGCTGCGCATGATAGAGACGGCAGCGGTTTCCGCCATAAAAAGAGGCGTCAACTCTGGTCGAGCATTTTATAGCGACAGTGCCAGGACTTCTGGCTTACAAACCTTGCTACCCCGATCAAGCAGTGGATTTCTTCAAGAAGATAACCCGATAACCCGTGACTTTAATTTTAGTTTGAACATTCTTACTTGCTCCGCGGTGTCGATATCATCGTATCTTGGTTTATTCTTCGAACATGTAGTTTCTCCACCATCAGATAAAACAATGACGAGTTTATGGCCCATCTTCTCTTTCTGAATTCAAGGCAACCATCTTCAATCATTGATGAGTTTTATACACTCCTACACTACATATTTCAAAGGTCTGCTTGGGCGTGTCTACAGATTTGACGTGGCCGTCGCCGCACTTGATAGATGGCGTGGATAAGCTGTTTCTAACATACTCCACTGGATATCAGCAGAGCATGCTGGGAGCAGCTTATCTGCGCAACCTTCTACAGAACACCGACGGCCGCCCTGTAGATCCATAGACCCGCTTAATCACCTCCGACATATGGACTGTACCATTCAACCGTTGAACTATCCCAGCATCAAAAGCATGATGATTGGTTTGATGAATATTGGTGAATGGATGGTATGGTGGAGTGCTGCTTTCGATGGATTCGACTGATGTTATTGAAAAAAGTTGGCGACAGAGCAGCATATCCCGTAGCTCGCTAATACCCATCATATTCATCATTTTCTAGAAATTAGCACAGTGTACCGACCGAGAAAGCTTTGAAATTCTGGAACGGTAACTCTGGTTTATTATGTCCTTGTTGTAAATATCATCTACCATTTAATTAAAATTCGATAAAGTAGCCATTTCCCAAAACTCGTCAAATCCCCATATATAATAGCCATGATCTAGATGATTGAATAGCTTAGCGGTTGGATAACTTCTAAAGTCGGTGACATTAAAGTACTAGGTCGTTCAAAAAGTATCCACCGTGTGGAACGCCTAACTTTGAAGCATCACAACTATGCTGAAACACAACCTCGAGTCGATTCCATAACCATCATATTCATCATATTGCTGCCAACCATATCCATGCCAACCTGTTCCCTTATGAGACAAATTCAAATTTTCAAAGGACAAAAGCTGTTGAACTCAATTTCCGACATATTCCTCAGCTTTCAGAAGGCATTTTCTGGCAAATGCTGCGTGTAAGCGGAAATATGGTGGCTCACTAGGGGTTCAATTTCTGAATACAATTGTTATACATCGCATTTTCCGTTCCGCAGGCCGTTAAGCGCTATTGTAGTGAGAGATCCAACAGGGATTTCCCTCTGTGCTTGTGAAGCAGCTCATTTCAGTATCCTCATTTGTTCCTTCACGCAAGCTATCATCCCTATAGTTTCTTTTGCATTATTTTCTACTGTTTACGTCAAGATTCCAACGTCGTCGACTGACTCGATTCTTAGAACTGCAGTGAGCTGCTCCACCAAACATAATGGGAAATCCCTGTTGGAAGCGCTCTGCTTTTACGATGCTCCAAGGCAATCAATCCCGTCCACCCATCAAGCAACCTTTACGTTATTAGCGGGCAGCTTCATAGCTTCATTCTACGTTATCACCCATCTCCGAAGCGGCCCCTCCCTGTTGCAATGTAGAATCCTCCATGAGCGTCGCAGCGATTCGAGCTGGAAAGACAGATTGACGACGTTTCCGCTGATTCCCAATAGCATTTAAGCGGCAGATTACGATGTTCTTAAAGACTCCAACCTGTCCTGCTCCACTTGCAGTTGAGCCCCTGTGATAAGCTCTTTTCGTTTCTTTCGCGCAATCCTCTATATGAGGGGCATTCCTCTTACTGTGTGCGCCTACCTCGAGCTTTATTTCTCGCAAGCACTAACCTGGCGAGGTGATCTCGCGTTGTGCTTTTTAGTGCTGTCTCTATAAAAGCAGCCGTTATATGAGCCACCCCTGGCGTGATCCCTCTGCGTCTAAAGTCATGAAGCACCAACAGTCGAAAATCACGATTTCCCAAACTCTGCATGTGGGAAGGCCGATTTCCCCCCCACAAGACCAAACCCAAACTGCCTGAATAGTTGCGGGAGAAATCGAAAGAATGCAGGGAAGTACTCGAAGTGCAAAACGGCGGATACTTTTTGACCGACCTAGTAGAAACACCAGTACCTATTGCATTAACAAAAAAATAGAGACCACCCAGAAAGCTCGGCAGATCCAAGGCCGAATAGATCCTGATGCTAGCGACGATCACGAATGAAATGGCATATTTCTTATCGCGCATCTACTAAGGTCGTCCGCATAATTATCTGAACCCAGAAAGTCCCGGAGGCTGTACCTTCTGTCCTACTAGTTCTATCTTTTTTGATATTCAATTGCTCAAAAATCATGATAACCGCTATCATGATTGCTGATATAATCCCATTTGTCACGAGACATTTCTCTCCTGGCAAGAAGCACGGGAATGGATAGCAATTCTTCCAAGGAAAGCGAAACGGTGCTCGGAAATTGAAAACTGTGGCCAACTTCGAGAGTTGTCACATGGTTGCTTTTGCAATGCTTCTCTCCATAAGGTGAAGTGGTTCTCACAACGAGGTTCCCAGCGAGTCCAACAAAGGGACACTACCTTCTGATGACAGAGCTCGAGCTTTGGTTAGCTGGTATATACGGGTTGCGAAGGGAGCATTCAACTCTCCTCATCAGCTCCTATCAATCGCAATCAGTTTCTGTCACCTGTGTGATAATGTCCCCATCCCACCCTGTGAACACCTGAAAAGACCAACGCCACACTTTTGCTGCGACTCGCGCGGTACTAATTAGTCGGTCAACATGGACATGGACATATACAACTTAGCCGATTTTGTATAGTGAGACAATCATCTTTGTTCGTGAGATCACAAGCCCACTGCGCAATTCGCTTTAATCTCTGGAGACCATATTTTTCTTATCATTTTGTGAATATCGCTTTCGTTTTCATCACATTGGGTGGCTCCGACGTACAGGACTCTTCAAATACTCATTGGTGCAGAACAGGTGACTCACACAGCGCAAGTCAAACCTTGCTACTTTTCGAATAAGACAAATTAAGTTTCACGTTTGATATTTGCGTGTCGTGCTAGGCTTGCAGTCAGTTTCTGCGGCCACAATGCCACTCAGGCGTCGCCGTTTCTTTCCCGTCAGTGAAAGTGGCGGTGTCAAAAGTACCAACTGCGTGGTGTGCCCGTAGGTGAATGGTTCTTATTGTCCCACAGCGCAAAAGCTTCGGCACCGGACTTGGTCAAATTCTCCATCAAGTCCTAGCGACATTGCGGCTCGAAGGGAGCGAAGCACATTTTTTGCCATGTGGGACAATGCTCGCTGTGGGGATACAGCATAGAAATAATTCTTCTGCGCGTGATTTCCAAAATTATTGTAGTGGTATATTGATCAAGAACGCCTTCCCGTACTTTCTTTATTCATGGCCCGTGCATTTCTTTCCTAATTGATGTTTTACACAAGGTCTGCTTGATAGTGATTGTTCGAAACAAAGCTTGTTATTATCGAATGTATGGCTAGCTTTTTGCTTTCAGTTAGCTAGAGAAGTTATACAACTTTTCACAAAAAGAGATCTGGATCCAACCCGATTTACGGTTTTCAGAGTGGAAAATGGAGTATTCTCGGCTTTGGCCTCCGCAAAATTCACGCCTAACGGCTAATTGAAAGATTTACGCTAATTTCGGCAGCGATCGGCCAAAGGGTTGAGACGGCAAATCTCGGATAGTTACTTGCCCTTAAAATTCGAATCAACTTTTGGTGCCGGTGGGTTTTGCTGCATTATGTACGCATTTTTCCCGACCAAATATCAAAACACAAGCGCGTCCACGTGGCTAGACACGCGGAACATCTCATTGTCACAAACTGGCTAAGTTCCTGCAGATCAATTTTCATTCAGGTTTGCTGTGGAGAACAAAAATACTATGCATTGCGTAGGGGCCAGTTGCAGTGATTGCAGTTCTGACGATGAGTACTTATCTTTCCATATTCCTATCTTATTATGCAACAAAGCCGGTAATAGTGTAAGCCTGTAGGCTTTCTCAATCAATAGGCTATGATTACAGGCTGCTCAAGCGCAGCAAAATGTTAGTACGAAGAAATCTAAAGCGCTGATTTCAGGCTGTCCGTCGCACGAGTTAACTTTCAATCCCTTACGCGCCAGTCACAAGGCTTCTCGGCACCGATGCCTCGACGGCCCGAGCCAGGTGTCTTGAACGAGTACCGGAACTTACGGGCTCTGATTGGATCGCCTGCCTGTCCTACCAATTGCCGTCAGCAGTCTCCACTGCGACCTTATTCTGCTGGTGAATCAATAAAACCGTTGCACTATTCTGTCCTGTATTGTACGGAGAACTAACACAGATGAACTGGCTCTGGCGAGCCTAGAGTCCTGAGTATAGAAAGATAAGCTGCTGAGAAAATCGAATCAAGATCTTTTAGCATTTGGATCACGCACCATGGCATTAGCCATGCAAGTAGTATCTGGTGGGAAATGCCTAACTGCAGCAATTTCTCTGATTACTCCATCGAAAACTGATTCTTATGACGTGGGGAAATAAATTTCCCACGTCATAAGAACCAGTTTCAGAAATAAATAATTAGAATTTCCAGGGTAGGGGGTGATATTTTTACGAAATTCGTTTGCGCTGAAAATTGCTTTTTTTGGTGCAAATTCATAACCGCACGCTGCTAATGTATGCGTCCTTCAATTCGAAACTTACTGCAAGAAGTTCCTTGGCTAGTTGGAAAGCCTGAGCCGCTCCCTTTTCGCTTGAAGGGTTTTCGGGTGGTGAAAGTTTGCGTCTGAAAAACCTGAAAAACATGCAGTCATGCTTCCAGCGGTGACAGTGGAGTTCGAGGGAGTCTCTTCATTGGGCTATTATCCAAAAGTAGAGATAAAAATGACTAGCGCTCTCATGCTCGACTCCAAATCCAAAATATTAGGTTGTCTCATAAATAGTGTCGCTTTTTTTCAACCAAAAAATTTTCATCTAAATCCCCATGCTTTTACATCGAGTCATATACCATTCGAAAGAGAATTGTCTGCTCTACAAGATGTTGTGTTCTTCTTCCATCTATGTTCCATGGTTTTCAAATTTTAGGCCTGCGAAATGGGAGGTCCAGCCGACAAAAATTGACCAAACCGACAACTATCTCTAACTTTAACTTCCCTTGAGGGGAATCAATCAATACTGTGCCCTCTACTTACTCATGACCTCTTAACATTCCACCCTTAGGTTGCCGAAAAAGGTTTGCCCTGTTTCTTTTCGAATTGGCCGACCGATAAGCCATGGCAATTTTCAAATTGAAATTCTTCCTCTGAAACGCTATTGTTTTATATCAACTGGTGTATCTTTTGTGAGCACTTCTTCTGCTCTATTCCGCATTTGTTTTGTTTTAATGTTTGTTAGGAAATTAGCTCGAATTTTAGGTGTTTAGGAGTAAGGTGCTTTATCCACGAAAGTGACCGCATTTCTTTGAAAAAAATTATCCCTGAGAAGATGAGAAAATCAACCAGGCGTACATTCCTAACTTAGTCATGACTTGTTCTTTAAATTCTACTAGTTTTTCAATGTCTCGGCTATAAAAAAAATTTCGACCTAGATCTCAGGTAATGGTGCTTGACCGTCGAGTTCTGGTTGAAAAACCAGGTCTGGAAATGGAATGACGCGACTTGTTGGGAAACCTAATAGTGTAATGTTTAGAAGAGGTCATGCGTAAGTAGAGGGTACAGTATTGATTGATTTCTCCCCAAGGGAAGATAAAGTTAGAGATAGTTGTCGGTTTGGTCAATTTTTGTCGGCTGGACCTCCCATTTCGCAGGCCTAAAATTTGAAAACCATGGAACATAGATGGAAGAGGAACACAGCATCTTGTAGAGCAGACAATTCTCTTTCGAATGGTATATGACTCGATGTAAAAGCATGGAGGATTTAGATGAAAATTTTTTGGTTGAAAAAAAGCGACACTATTTATGAGACAACCTAATACTTTATGGTACAGGGTCCAGCGTGAATGCGCACCTGGGTTCTTTCACATTCCGTTCTGCAGTGATTCAATGGAACGGCCATGAACCAAGTGGGGGACATCTTCGCCTATGCCAAAGGAGGTGCGAAATCTACTGTGCTTCTATTGATAAGGACAAAAAAATAAGGCCACTTAGGCGTCGCCCTTTCTTTTGCATCAATGAAAGTGATGGTGTCAAAAGTAACTACTGTGTATTGTGCCCGTGAGTGAAAGGTTCTTGTTGTGGGTTTGCCGACCGAAAGTTTTTTCTGTCTCAGAAACGGGGTATTCTGCCGATCGATCGGTTTTCCGACTGAGAGATTGTTCTGTCTCAGAAAGAATGGATAGAATGTGGACAGAATGTTTGGTGTTTGGACCAATCCTTATTAGAAGAACACTTCATATGAATCGGTTCCGTAGTACCCTTAGTGTCAGAGAGCCCAACTTAGCGCCCTTCAGTACTTAGGATAAGTTAACTTAGAAAGCCCCCCCTCCCACAACTTCAATGTCATCCCTTCAGCTATGGACAAGGGAGGGAATGGTGAGTACATTGCTTATGAGGACCACAAGTGTGGGAGGCCCTTCAAGGAGATGCGAGAGTGACAAACCACAAATTAGTACCGTAGTTGGCGCCCTGTGTAGACGCCCATTGTAAGAAGTGTCTCTGCAGGGCAACTCATCGATACGACTCCGATTCTTGCTTTTTCTAAATTCTCGGCAATATCCGTCACATAGGCTATTTCCTGAAATACGTAGAAAATCAATGTTGTTCAGAGGCTGATTAATTCAGTGATTAATTTGATTGATTAATTTTGTTGATTCTTTTTTATAGGTGTCAGTTATTCGGGAGGTTATTTGGGCTCGAGTATGTCATGCAGGTTTGGGATACCTAGGCAAGAATTTTTTTTGACATCTGCACTGCTTTGTACCACTGGCAAGCCTAACTCCCTGGATTCTCTACAGAAAAAAAAGTATTTCACTCCAACTGACTCATTTGCATCTTTTGAATTTTTCTTGCCTTTGTTTTGCTTTTCCGTCATGAATGGTGCCCTTGATGATTTATCAGTGAACCAACACAACAATGAAGTTTCTCAAGTATTCATTACATTCATATCCTGCAGAAAGTTTAGAGTGATTATCAAAGATTTTGGAACTTGGCCTCAAACCTCGTGCAACTTGACACCAATTTTTTAAACTTATTCATCTTCACGTTTTCAGAATCGAGGAGCAGTTTTTCAATTCCGTCGAATTTTTAATTTTGTTAGAACGAAAAAAAAAACTCTTGGTCGGGGGCAGTCATTTATTTTCATAGAGGAAGGCATTTTAACGCGGAATCCCAGTGTTGCTGTGTCATCGATGTGAATTTTCACCTTTTCTAAGAAATGGAATCCGTGAGCAGTGCAGCAGAGCTACGAGTAGAGCAGCCTTTCTGTACCATATGAAAATCAGGCATCGTAATAAGGAAAACCCCAATAAACGTTGTGGACAGAGCTCTTTGCGAATTCATTCCTTGCCTCAAAAGAGCTGCCAATTTAGCTCTTATGTGACTTGTAGGAACAGAAGCTGAAGTCTGCCCTTCACTAGGTCGTTCATGAGATATGATCACATACAACATAACAGAATGCAGATGGAACGGCACCAAGCTGATTGAGCACTGTGCCGAGGAAGCTCACACCATTTTGTATTCGAAGCCGTGCATGTTTCTTCACGCCTTACCTGTCGGAATGAAAGGTACTCACCGTGCGGGAATCAGTAGTGGTTTGCCCTACAAGAATGAGGATCTGCTCTATATTGACACCTATTGCCCAAACTGCCCGCTCGATTGGCAGACCCACTTTACAAATTGCATGAGAGTATCATGAGAGCATGCGCAGTTCAGCATGCTCGACAATATTAAGCGGTCACTGGACTCATACTCAAAGGCTGCGCAAGAATTCCAGGGACGGTAGTAAAGTGGCCTCAACTGCTAGTTACCATGTGACCATGAGCTCGTGGTAACTTGGTCATGGCTTCCATCCATGTCTCCCTAAAAGATGCGTAGAGCACCTCTGGAACCCCTCCGAAGATTCCCCGTCGGAATGGTCGAAGTGAGTTCGAACTTACTTGGAAGTTGGGGTGATGACATCACGTGCTAGTAAGAGGATTAGCAGGGTGGTCATTTATAAACTAACAGCGATGGCGGCAGAGGAAAAGGAAATAGTGCGCGCGCGGTGGAGGGCGCAAACATGCTGCCACTTCATCTCTAAAAAGTCCTCCGGAGGACTTTTTAGAGATGGCCATCTCCAAACAGCCAGGCTGTGTGGGTCAACGCAGTAAGTTGAAAAGGGAAAGGGAAGCAACTTGCATTGATCCGTCAATGGTGTAGCGCCTGCGGTCCACGTTTGTGTTGAGCCGGCCACGGGATCGATACTACTAGATGTCAAAATCTTTGCAACTTTTGTGGGTTATTGCCTTTCCTCTAGAATTCTTTCACCGTCAATAAGAAGGGCTCCATAGTGCAGTGGTAGCGATGCCGCTCATGGGACGGTGCACCGAAGGTTCAAACCCGTGTGTGACGCGACTTTTGCAAGCAACGTGGTGGATGCTCACCACTTCGCCTATGGCAAATTGCCATTGGCTCAATGGGGACGTTCCACGCTGCCGCTGGCAAGGTTGCTGGATCAGCACCGCTTGGAGACTAAGATTTGCAAACAACATCCATTGCATACCTTTCATCAACATCTCTTCCAGTGGTGTGGTCGAGTGATCCCTGGTGCAGTGGCAAAAAACCGGCTATGAGCCCTACCATCCAGGGCTCAAGTCCGAGAGGGATGCAAGTTTTGCAGGTCGTGTGGCGAGGCTGGCGGTTTCAACTAGGGTCATGTCCATGTTTCCACGTTCTCTATTCCTCGCCAATGGGTGTAAATCACCACATTTGATTGCCAGTCTAGGGCACTTTACTACCGTCCCTGATGTTTGTCATCTGTGTAAGTGGTCCCAACCACACCCCCAGCGCGCTGTGGGATTTAGTCTACCGATGACGACCAATGACGTCATCAAAAGCGCACCGCCTAGCTATCGCATTCACTTTTTTAAAATTTATTCCAGGGCGCCGATGAAATAGAGAGCGGTGAGGGAGAGCAGCTGATGTACAATGCTATCTCAAGTTTATCGAGCATCAACGGTCCTTTGTCTCAAAAACATATCAGAAGTGAGTTTGCTTATAATTATTTATTCAATGTTCAGTGCATCCCACCATTTTGCATATCTCTGTAAACATTTTGGTTTTATTTTTTGTGTACTGTGTGTATTTCGTCACTATTTATGCTGACAATATGATTCGCAAAATGAGTGAAGCGCTGATTAATTTATTTTTGAGAGGCACCACGCATTCCTTACTTCCCAAGTCCTAATGGTCCATAATTTAATTCGCGATCTCGTCCAGCAGGGTGAACATCGTTCGAGGACTCGTCGACGACTCTTCGAGAATTTTTGCCTGTTCAGTCACGTTCTCCCGCGCGGACATTCACTCTCGCCACGTGCACGCCGTCTCTGCTCCGCTCGCATTCACTCTCGACACTATTCCCACACAGTACAGAGTCATACGTTAGGATT